AATACGACAGCTGGCTGCTGGTCGTCGACATGGTCGTCGACTGGTCGTCGGCTGGTCGTCGGCTGTTCGTCGGCTGGTCGTCGGCTGGTCGGATAGCAATGAAACACGATGTCTGTCATGTAAAACAGACACCGTGTTTGGTTATAGATCGTTTGGTTACAGATTATTTGGCTACAGACTGTTTGGTTACAGACTGCTTGAGTAAAGATTGTTTGACTACAGATTGTTTGACTACAGATTGTTTGACTACAGATTGTTTGGTTACAGATTATTTGGCTACAGATTGTTTGGCTACAGATTGTTTGACTACAGATTGTTTGACTACAGATTGTTTGGTTACAGATTATTTGGCTACAGATTGTTTGGCTACAGATTGTTTGGTTACAGATTATTTGGCTACAGATTGTTTGGTTACAGATTGTTTGAGTAAAGATTGTTTGACTACAGATTGTTTGACTACAGATTGTTTGGCTACAGATTGTTTGACTACAGATTGTTTGGCTACAGATTGTTTGACTACAGATTGTTTGGCTACGGATTGTTTGGTTACAGATTATTTGGTTACAGATTGTTTGAGTAAAGATTGTTTGACTACAGATTGTTTGGCTACAGATTGTTTGGCTACAGATTGTTTGATTACAGATTGAGTAAAGATTGTTTGACTACAGAGTGTTTGGCTACAGATTGTTCGGCTACAGATTGTTTGGTTACAGATTGTTTGGATGCAGATTGTTTGGTTACAGATTGTTTGGCTACAGATTGTTTGACTACAGATTGTTTGGCTACAGATTGTTTGGTTACAGACTGTTTGGTTACAGATTGTTTGGCTGCAGATTGTTTGGTTACAGATTGTTTGGTTACAGATTCTTTGACTACAGATTGTTTGGCTACAGATTGTTTGGTTACAGATTGTTTGAGTAAAGATTGTTTGGCTACAGATTGTTTGGTTACAGATTGTTTGGCTGCAGATTGTTTGGTTACAGATTGTTTGGTTACAGATTGTTTGACTACAGATTGTTTGGCTACAGATTGTTTGGTTACAGATTGATTGGCTGCAGATTGTTTGGCTACTGATTGTTTGTTTACAGAATGTTTGGCTACAGATTGTTTGGCTACAGATTGTTTGGCTACAGATTGTTTGGCTACAGATTGTTTGGCTGCAGATTGTTTGGCTACAGATTGTTTGACTACAGATTGTTTGGCTGCAGATTGTCTGGCTACAGATTGTTTGGCTACAGATTGTTTTGCTCCAGATTGTTTGGCTACAGATTGTTTGGCTACATATTGTTTGGCTACAGATTGTTTGACTACAGATTGTTTGGCTGCAGATTGTTTGACTACAGATTGCTTGGCTGCAGATTGTTTGGCTACAGATTGTTTGACTACAGATTGTTTGGCTGCAGATTGTTTGGCTACAGATTGCTTGGCTGCAGATTGTTTGGCTCCAGATTGTTTGGCTACAGATTGTTTGGCTACAGATTGTTTGACTACAGATTGTTTGGCTGCAGATTGTCTGGCTACAGATTGTTTGGCTACAGATTGTTTGGCTACAGATTGTTTGGCTACAGTTTGTTTGGCTACAGATTGTTTGGCTACAGATTGTTTGACTACAGATTGTTTGGCTGCAGATTGTTTAACTACAGATTGTTTGGCAGCAGATTGTTTGGCTACAGATTGTTTGACTACAGATTGTTTGGCTGCAGATTGTTTGGCTACAGATTGTTTGGCTGCAGATTGTTTGGCTACAGATTGTTTGGCTACAGATTGTTTGGCTACAGATTGTTTGACTACAGATTGTTTGGCTGCAGATTGTCTGGCTACAGATTGTTTGGCTACAGATTGTTTGACTACAGATTGTTTGGCTGCAGATTTTTTGACTACAGATTGCTTGGCTGCAGATTGTTTAGCTACAGATTGTTTGACTACAGATTGTTTGGCTGCAGATTGTTTGGCTACAGATTGTTTGGCTGCAGATTGTTTGGCTACAGATTGTTTGGTTACAGATTATTTGGCTACAGATTGTTTGGTTACAGATTGTTTGAGTAAAGATTGTTTGACTACAGATTGTTTGACTACAGATATTTTGGCTACAGATTGATTGACTACAGATTGTTTGGCTACAGATTGTTTGACTACAGATTGTTTGGCTACGGATTGTTTGGTTACAGATTATTTGGTTACAGATTGTTTGAGTAAAGATTGTTTGACTACAGATTGTTTGGCTACAGATTGTTTGGCTACAGATTGTTTGGTTACAGATTGAGTAAAGATTGTTTGACTACAGAGTGTTTGGCTACAGATTGTTCGGCTACAGATTGTTTGGTTACAGATTGTTTGGATGCAGATTGTTTGTTTACAGATTGTTTGGCTACAGATTGTTTGACTACAGATTGTTTGGCTACAGATTGTTTGGTTACAGATTGTTTGACTACAGATTGTTTGGCTACAGATTGTTTGGTTACAGATTGTTTGAGTAGAGATTGTTTTTCTACAGATTGTTTGGTTACAGATTGTTTGGCTGCAGATTGTTTGGTTACAGATTGTTTGGTTACAGATTGTTTGACTACAGATTGTTTGGCTACAGATTGTTTGGTTCAGATTGTTTTGCTGCAGATTGTTTGGCTACTGATTGTTTGTTTACAGAATGTTTGGCTACAGATTGTTTGGCTACAGATTGTTTGGCTTCAGATTGTTTGGCTACAGATTGTTTGGCTGCAGATTGTTTGGCTACAGATTGTTTGACTACAGATTGTTTGGCTGCAGATTGTCTGGCTACAGATTGTTTGGCTACAGATTGTTTGGCTACAGATTGTTTGGCTACAGATTGTTTGGCTACAGATTGTTTGACTACAGATTGTTTGGCTGCAGATTGTTTGACTACAGATTGTTTGGCTGCAGATTGTTTGGCTACAGATTGTTTGACTACAGATTGTTTGGCTGCAGATTGTTTGGCTACAGATTGTTTGGCTGCAGATTGTTTGGCTACAGATTGTTTGGCTACAGATTGTTTGGCTACAGATTGTTTGACTCCAGATTGTTTGGCTGCTGATTGTCTGGCTACAGATTGTTTGGCTACAGATTGTTTGGCTACAGATTGTTTGGCTACAGATTGTTTGGCTACAGATTGTTTGGCTACAGATTGTTTGACTACAGATTGTTTGGCTGCAGATTGTTTAACTACAGATTGTTTGGCTGCAGATTGTTTGGCTACAGATTGTTTGACTACAGGTTGTTTGGCTGCAGATTGTTTGGCTACAGATTGTTTTGTTACAGATTGTTTGGTTACAGATTGTTTGGTTACAGATTGTTTGGCTACAGATTGTTTGGTTACAGATTGTTTGGGTACAGATTGTTTGGCTACAGATTGTTTGGTTACAGATTATTTGGCTACAGACTGTTTGGTTACAGATTGCTTGAGTAAAGATTGTTTGACTACAGATTGTTTGGCTACAGATTGTTTGACTACAGATTGTTTGGTTACAGATTATTTGGCTACAGATTGTTTGGCTACAGATTGTTTGGTTACAGATTATTTGGCTACAGATTGTTTGGTTACAGATTATTTGGCTACAGATTGTTTGGCTACAGATTATTTGGTTACAGATTGTTTGAGTAAAGATTGTTTGACTACAGATTGTTTGACAACAGATTGTTTGGCTACAGATTGTTTGACTACAGATTGTTTGGCTACAGATTGTTTGACTACAGATTGTTTGGCTACGGATTGTTTGGTTACAGATTATTTGGTTACAGATTGTTTGAGTAAAGATTGTTTGACTACAGATTGTTTTTCTTCAGATTGTTTGGCTACAGATTGTTTGGTTACAGATTGAGTAAAGATTGTTTGACTACAGAGTGTTTGGCTACAGATTGTTTGGCTCCAGATTGTTTGGTTACAGATTGTTTGGCTGCAGATTGTTTGGTTACAGATTGTTTGGCTACAGATTGTTTGACTACAGATTGTTTGGCTACAGATTGTTTGGCTACAGATTGTTTGGTTACAGATTGTTTGGCTGCAGATTGTTTGGTTACAGATTGTTTGCTTACAGATTGTTTGACTACAGATTGTTTGGCTACAGATTGTTTGGTTACAGATTGTTTGAGTAAAGATTGTTTGGCTACAGATTGCTTGGTTACAGATTGTTTGGCTGCAGATTGTTTGGTTACAGATTGTTTGGCTGCAGATTGTTTGGCTACTGATTGTTTGTTTACAGAATGTTTGGCTACAGATTGTTTGGCTACAGATTGTTTGGCTACAGATTGTTTGGCTACGGATTGTTTGGCTGCAGATTGTTTGGCTACAGATTGTTTGACTACAGATTGTTTGGCTGCAGATTGTCTGGCTACAGATTGTTTGGCTACAGATTGTTTGGCTACAGATTGTTTGGCTACAGATTGTTTGGCTACAGATTGTTTGGCTACAGATTGTTTGACTACAGATTGTTTGGCTGCAGATTGTTTGACTACAGATTGTTTGGCTGCAGATTGTTTGGCTACAGATTGTTTGACTACAGATTGTTTGGCTGCAGATTGTTTGGCTACAGATTGTTTGGCTGCAGATTGTTTGGCTACAGATTGTTTGGCTACAGATTGTTTGGCTACAGACTGTTTGACTACAGATTGTTTGGCCGCAGATTGTCTGGCGACAGATTGTTTGGCTACAGATTGTTTGGGTACAGACTGTTTGGCTACAGATTGTTTGGCTACAGATTGTTTGGCTACAGATTGTTTGGCTACAGATTGTTTGACTACAGATTGTTTGGCTGCAGATTGTTTGACTACAGATTGTTCGGCTGCAGATTGTTTGGCTACAGATTGTTTGACTACAGATTGTTTGGCTGCCGATTGTTTGGCTACAGATTGTTTGGCTGCAGATTGTTTGGCTACAGATTGTTTGGCTACAGATTGTTTGACTACAGATTGTTTGGCTGCAGATTGTTTGACTACAGATTGTTTGGCTGCAGATTGTTTGGCTACAGATTGTTTGGCTACAGATTGTTTGGCTACAGATTGTTTGGCTGCAGATTGTTTGGCTACAGATTGTTTGGCTACAGATTGTTTGGCTACAGATTGTTTGGCTACAGATTGTTTGGCTACAGATTGTTTGGCTACAGATTGTTTGACTACAGATTGTTTGGCTGCAGATTGTTTGACTACAGATTGTTTGGCTGCAGATTGCTTGGCTACAGATTGTTTGGCTGCAGATTGTTTGACTACAGATTGTTTGGCTACAGATTGTTTGATTACAGATTGTTTGGCTGCAGATTGTTTGGCTACAGCTTGTTTGGCTACAGATTGTTTGACTACAGATTGTTTGGCTACAGATTGTTTGGTTACAGATTGTTTGGCTACAGATTGTTTGGTTACAGATTGTTTGGCTACAGATTGTTTGGCTACAGATTATTTGACTACAGATTGTTTGGCTACAGATTGTTTGGTTACAGATTGTTTGGCTACAGATTGTTTGGCTACAGATTGTTTGGCTACAGATTGTTTGACTACAGATTGTTTGGCTACAGATTGTTTGGTTACAGATTGTTTGGTTACAGATTGTTTGGTTACAGATTGTTTACAATTATACGAATACATTATCTTTTATATTGCAAGGAAAGTCTATTGTTATGCTTCCAACCAGGTCTGTGTTTCACTTTATAACTGATCTACTGAAGTGCCGAAATTTAACCCACAATTTGAAGCGGAAACTTTAGAAAACGTTCTGGTCCGTCCTGGAAGGAGGAGGTGAAGAGGTGAGGAGAGAGAGAGAGTCAAGTTAGGTCAAGTCACGTGTGTTCCGAAAACTTGATAACAGGTCAGGGCGGACCGGAACGTGGGTCTGGAGTTTCCCTCTCCATGTTGTGGATTAGTTTGGAATTCCTCGCCATAGCAGAGCGTAAATAGAGCTGTGATGGTCTTGCAATGCAATGTGACGCTGCAAGTACTACTCCGCTTCCCAAGTTACAAGCAGTCAGTCACACATCACCTACCGCCATCAAAATTAAAAATACGCAATACTATCAAAGTGGGTAAAAATAATCTTGACATTTGTAAATATAAAGAGGAGAGCTTGCGGCTGCTGCCCAGGTGGAGCCAGTGAAGGAGTGACTCCGGCGATGACACGCTAATAACAGGTGGAGCTGAATTAAATTACACTTAGGGAGAAGCTAAGAGGCCGCGACTGTCAACAGGAAATGCCAACTGGTTTAGGAACTTCTTCCCTCTTACTCTGGTTGAGTTGGGGAGTAAATTGTACCAACTACGTCCGAAGTTTCTGCTGTCTCTCACTTTGTATATTAATGTGAGTCTTGATGCATATTACATAGCTGACCTTTCATACGTCGTGTATGGTATCCTAAACTATTTTTTATAGGCTACTGAATGCTTTTTAAGATTCGCCAGTCTCATGTATGCTGCCGATATTGCCCAATTGATGGGCTCCTCTGCTAATACTGTCACTATGCTCTTTCGACATGATCTATTCTTTTTTTTTCTCCTTTGTGTATTCTCTCTGTCTGATTCTCGTTTTCCCGTCTCTGATCTTCATTTCCTTGCCTTTTTTTATGCTGAACTTAGCAGCTGCGACTGTGACAAATGTTTAGTCTTTCTAGGTTTCTCTGGAAAATGTTTCTCCTCTGCATCACCTGCTTCATTAACATCACAAGCAGTTAAGTACTAGTACCTACCCTTGAGGCACCCCACTCGTGACACTCCCTCATTCCCACTCTGCCTTCCTCAGTGAGGCTTTCATACCTCTCTGGCAAGTACGCCCTTAGACACTTCATCTGTGTGACCCAAACTGGTTTACCGTCTATTTTTACTACTACGACTTCTAATAACACTACTACTACTAGTCTACTATTACTAGTCTACTACTACTAATAATACTATTTCTACTGTTACTACTAATACTAATGCTACTACTAATAATAATAATAACCACTTGTGGCGTGCAGAGAGTACGTAACCTTTATTCGGCGCATGTACACACCCTCATTTACAGGCTATCTCCCCCAACCAGCGAACCAGGTGACTGAGGGTTGACGATGAGGCCCCGTCGTTCAACTAGTAACCAGGTTCCAGCCAATAAGAAGATGGTTTTGGCAATCGCAGAGGTTATGTGGGTACCACTCTCCTGTCCGCCCTGGTCATTCCCATTCTAGCGCTGGTTGAAATACGGTCTGCTCTCTAGTGGCTTCTATTCTGCCTTGCTTACCGTGGAGTGCACTAATACCTATCACTGTACATAGTGTATATAGTGTACATATTACTGTTCTAAATTGGTGAAGGATAATATAAGTCAAAACTTTTCTGCTGTGTTTATTTTGCTCCCTTTACACCCAGGATAACAGGCCATTTGGACTCCTGGGTTGTAATACCACTTCAACATATTACCCTCTGCTGAAGTTATATTTTTTGAAGCCAAAAGGTGCAGTGTAGCCATCATCACTGTTCTTCGATCTCTGCAATTCTCTCTCGTAGAAGTGCAGCGGTTACATTATGTTA